TAAATTTCCTTAGAAAAAGGAAGAGAAGGATGAATTCATTGACAAGGATAAGGAGCTTTCTTTAAGACCTAAAGTCTTAAGATTTCACGAGGCTGCCAAATATCAAATATCAACATTTTTATGTACCTAAGCCTTCCTCAATGTTGTCCTAAGAATGTCACTGACTCACCACACAGCCAGATTAGGGAGTTCGGCTTGGTCACGACAAAGTCCGTTTGAATAGCTTTTACAGCCTTGCATTGGGAATATCTCTATAAGATATTCCTGATATAAGGTTGCAAGAGGTTGTTGGCACAGTATGAGCATGGGCTTGCCCTGACCGAAGCCAATCTCCATATTAGGTTTGGAGTTGTACTAGGCCTGATTAAATGATGGCCAGCCCTAGGTATCTCAATCCTACCTATGCTAGGCCAAACCCAGACATAGAGCTACACTCTACCACAAGGCATTAGACCGCACATCAGGAACATCTTCAATATACAAGTAGGAAGATGTTCACGACTATGTTGTCTTGTGGGTAGGGTGTGGGCAGCATCTTGTGGATAGCAGATCCGAGCATGTAAGTTGATAACCTTCAGAATATGGAGGCACAGGATCAAATCTGCATAACTGCAGGTTATCTGAGAAAAAAAAAAACAAACAAAACAAAAAAAATGGAGAAGTATAAATTTGTCCAATGCAGATTTCTGATTTATACTGCAAAGCTATAAACATTCAAAAGGACCACAACCCACACTCTATGCACCAATGCCCGCCCAAGCCAACTTATTCTGACCCTAGGAAAAAAAAAAAAAAAAAGAAAGTTTCTGCATCTAGTACCAAAACTGCTTCTAACTAGCTAGCTAGATTTATAGCCATGCATCTCAAATATTTTCATTAGTCATATGTTGTCATTGATGGGGTTGTAGTGTTGTACCATGGAGACAGCAATCATATTTGAATTGTGCAGCTACAATCATGTTGAAAACCATGGTGGTACCAGATCAAGACTCTTCCACTCTTTTTGAGATGTTTCTTGGTCATCATCTCAAATAACATTATATTCCTTAATCATCATCATCATCATCCAGCGTATCCCAACTATATGGGTCAGTTACATGAAATCCTGTTTCACCATATGGTTCTGTTTAAACAAGATCATCATCGTCATCATCTCTATTCTTTGGTGAATTAAATGTTTTTTAGGTTTTTTGTCTAATATCTATTGGCCTATATAACCAAATCTAAGGGGTACATTGGGTGAGACAGTGAGAGTAGAGAAATTTTAGAAAGAACAGAACAGAAATAAAATATTATTGTTGGAAAATCATGTCCAATTAACCTATCCTTCTAAGATATAAAATTTGAGAGATAGATAGATTTCTATGATAAGAAAGAATATATAAACTTAAATGGATATTATATATATATATATATGTGAGTAATATGGATTTTCAAGAATACAAGGTAGAAAAAATACAGGATGCATAATTTTCAATATATGTTTTTATGATACTTAAATACAATTATATTCAAAATATGCATATTTTAGTAGATTATACATGCTTTTACATACATATTTTTGTTCTTGGAATTTTATATAAGGAATTTGCCCGTATGCCATATGCATATTTACTATGGTTCAGACTTATTAGTAATGATTGATCATTATGTCATGGTGCCTCCTGTAGCCTAAGGGTGTCAATAGACCCATCCAGTCCAAAATCAATTTGGCAGATTGGATGGACCAATAAGACATATTGTATTGGATCAATCTAGTCCAAAATATTTATTAGATTAGATTGGATCTGATCCGTCTATAATAAATTTATATTGGATTAGGTTGAATTAAACTAATATCTAATCTATTGATATAAGATAAGAATATAGGTGCCAATGGACCAGATTTGGGTTGAAACCAATTTGAACATATTGGATGGTCCAGACATTGAATTGGACTGATCCAAAATATTCATTGGATTGGATTGGACCTGATCCATTTGTAATGGACTCACATTGGTCTGGATCGAATTGGACAAATCCAGTCCAATTGGCACCCCTACGTGTAGCCTAGCTAGTACCTCTTCCACTTTGCAGATCCTCTATGATCTAAATGTTATCTCTAAATGAACACCATTTTGTTGCAGATATGAATAATTGAATAGAAATACTAATCGTATATTCTAGACAAAAGAGTTCCCTAAACATTCCAAATTATACAAATTTGAGCAAATTTAGGCTGCATTTGGCATTCCTTATTTTAAGGATTTATCTCCTTTTTTGTTGTTAAAAACTCAGTGTTTATAAAAAAGGAGATAAGCCCCTATAATAAGGAATGCCAAATGCAGCCTTAATTTTTTTTCTGTAAAGCAAATAAACATTATCATTAACTGACACCAAAAGAAGGAAGGATAGATCAACAGAGAAACTCCAAAGGACTGTCGGACCAACTTTGAGTCAAAATATTTAGCTATCTGGGCAGTCACATGGGCCGCCTAGTTCTACCTCTTACTTAAACATGTAGGTTTCATTCATTTTTCAGTAAGTTATTATCCAGGTAGTGCATTTATGTTAAGTGTTTTTCGGGTAATAATTTTTACATAAATTCATTAACCCGTGCTTTTTTAATCATGAAAAATTATTTAGATAAGTTACATAATTTATCAATTTTTACCCATATATTCTATACTTATAAGGGGCAACTTTATAATCGGTTCCCGATTTTTCTGGTCTGACCGTCCAGTCTGATCCGGTTTTGAAAATACTGTTCTCTAGTATAAAACACTGGAGCCATAACAGCTCGTAGCTTCTCTTCAAAACCTTGCAAACAAGAAATATGCCCCCTTTGTTGACTGTGAATTTGAATGTAGTAGCAAAGCAACTAGCAAGGTGGAAACCTTGGATCCAAAAGGGAATCATTTCCTAACATAGGAAGGAAAACTCAAACCAGCTATTATGAAATCCATGATGCACACATTAGGGTTTGGATTTCCTTCTCACAGAATGCTCCTCACACCCACCTCACAGCATGTTACAGCCGCACATCAGAAACATCTTCTGTACTTGTGTGTTTTCGTTTATGGAGAGATGTTCCTCCCAATGCATGGCTGCAAGTGCTGCAAGGTGTGTGTGATGAGCATTCTGTGAGGATGAAATCCAGATTCCACACCGTATTTTTTACGATGCAGAAAGCAATCTTGTCACATTCGTTATTCCAACAGACTTCAAATATGTGGTCATTAGTTGCATTGTATGCGTTCATCACCATCCAATAGCATAAATCTTTGGCATGCTCCCTCAAATCATTGCACATATTTGACCTGCTTCATGCTCCATATTTAATATTTTTGCAGTAGAATCATCAGAGCAAAGAAGCCAACAATGAACTAATTGGATCCCATTTGATAGCGCATTAACTTCACCTTGATGCCAAGAAAAAGGTTTTAATAGTCCAGCTCTCTAATCTTGCAAACGTAAATCATGTTATCTCTTGAGCATGTAGCAAAGCTATTGTTATTGCTCCAATCAACATCAAGGACTGAAGCAGAATGAAATTCGAATAGTTGTTTCCGTTTCCCTGTTTTCAAATCCCAAACAATGGAAGTATTGTCTTCACTTCCACTAAGAATTCAATCACCCTTTTTGTTCCACTTCAGAGAGATGGGTCCCTTCTGTTTGTTTAGTGTACTCTTCAGTTCTTTATCTCTATTCCATATTCTTGTTTTCCCATGATAAGAACCAGTTGCAAGGGATATCCCCACCCCAATCCAATCAAGTGCGATGACACCATTGGGTTCCCCATTGGCTCTACAATTCTTCAAAAATAAACAAGAGCGAACAAGTGAGTGAACCCAACAGATCACAGATGAGCTTATGGTAACACAAAGCTTCTTCGATGGTTTTTTAACAGATTTAATGGGGACGAAAGAACCAGTCCATTCCAAGAGAACTCAATGATGTCTTCAATTCTTCCTGATCCAGTAAAATAATCAAGGAAAAATTGTGTGGATTATTTATAGTATCAATGCTAATGCTGCAATGCACATTTAGATTAAGAAATATGATTGACCATTTGATGATCCCACCCACCAAAGATGCTCATCATGAGGCCAACAGCTCTATTGGATGCCCTCCAAATTCGCAATGGGTGATTAACGCAGTAACCAGAAAGGACTGAAGTATCCATAATCTAATACCTTGAACAGAAATGGTATCAAAAAGTCTCATCCCCCATTTTAGGCCCCCTTCGTTTACCGGTAAATAAGGGAGGGGGGAATTGGTCAATGGGTATTTCTTTTCATTGACCACCTTTCCAACATTCTTTTTGCATCAAGAGCCCCACAGAGAGTCTCACTTACCCTCTCCCAAGTGGATAAATTACTTTCCCACATGTGAGGAGAATACTATAAACATAATAGGATAAATTAGTCTATTTTGACATTAACTTTTTATGCATATAATTATATTTTTACCAGAAAATCAAAAGAACATAGATGAATAAACTTAACCGATAACATAACATTTACCTGGGTAAGTTACAAAATTCTAAACAAATAAGACCTTGGTAGTATTTTAACTAGGGCATAATCTATTGTGCATGAATTGCACCGTGAAATCAGTGGAACAAAGAATAATGAAAATTGAACCACTGAAATACATCACATTTGAATCTTCAATGTTCTTAAAACTTTAATGGGAAAATACACCTTGTGAAACTTAAAACTACACCTTATAAAACATAAATCAATGAAAACTAAATAGATCATGTGAGGCCTTTTAACATAATTAAACTTTGATTTAATGTACAACAAATATTCAAAATGCACCATGGAAACCATTTTAATTGATTTTCCCACTTTTTTTTCTTTTCTTTTTTCCAACTTGTAAATAATACTATTACCACCTAATTTAACAGTAATGTAAACACATCTAATGAACTTGGAACTACAATTTGGGGAATGCTAATCCTAACAATGATAATGCAGATAATATCTAACACGCGTTTCCAACACTCATGAGTATTATGAGGACCCCAAATGACTTGCTAATTACTGTACTTTTCAGTACATAATGACAATATTCTACATCAACAGCTGAAGTACATTAAGCAATAACTAGTGAATATGTTTTGTGACGTCCTTCCCTCTCTCATCACTTTAAATTTTGATACTCCGCCCTTTCGTCTCACCTATATATTAATAAAAAGGGAAAAAAAACTTCAAGGAAACAAGTCATCAAGGCTGAAGCCCTCCATGTACCATGCATATAAAAAGCTTTAACAATTATCTATGCAAATGAAAATGACAGTGGTTTTTCCCCTCAACATTTATCACTTACATTGCATATAAAATGCTTCAACTGTTTCCAATGTGATAATCAACATTTTATTGCGTTTTGCTATCCTCTTCCTCTACCTCATATTCCTCATCATCGTCGTCCTTATCAATGTCCTCATCACCAAACAAGCTGCTTCTTGAAAACATGCCCAGTTCACCCTTTCCATCATCCTCACTCATCAAGTCAAGGCCAAATTTAACATCCCTGTGCTTTACTAAGAGCCAGCGTAGTAGCCTATCTTCCTTGTTCAGGTAATGCAACTCTTTATTGAAGTTGGGAGTTACCATCATTGTCATCTGCATCAGCTGACCCTGTTTGTAGCAAAACCGAAATGGTGTTTATTATACAATTAGAAACAACTTTTGGTGAAGGCGGAATTTTTTTCTTCAGTCTATTTGGAAAAAAGGATTATCAAGCTTCCAAATCCATGAGATAGTGCAACTCCAACATGAGTGCATCTTGTTACTTTGTATCATGTCAAAATCATAATTCCAACACAGCGTTATCAATGAAATAAAAGCAGAAAACAAGATGAGGCATATGTTCTCCAAAAGATTATAATAAATAATGATTTGCATAAGGTAAAAATAATATCACTTTCTTCTTCTAAGTCCAGTCATCATTATCTAAGCCTTGTCCCAACTATATAGGGTCAGTTACACGAATCCTGTTTTGTCATTATGTTCTCTTTAGTGAACATATCCATTGTTGACTTAGGAGCACTTAAAATCATTTCTTACTACTTCAACCCATGTCCTTTTTTTTTATCAATAACAAAACTTTCATTAATCAAACAGAATAGTTAATAATACAAAGGGGGAGATAAACTCTCTTAACTCCCCAGCAGAGGCATGAACCCCCACAATGAGAAAACCAGAATTACAACTGAGCCCAAAATATAGATTCCCTGTCCACCCCTAGCTTAGCTAACCCATCAGCAAACGAATTAGCAGATCTCTTCGCCCAACTGAACTTTATTTCCATGTCCTTAACCAGCCATCTGAATTTTATCCTTTCGTTGTTGTAGTTCCATAATCCAGCCTTGTCTTCTTGCAGCCACCCTACCACCACCTCTGAATCCCCTTCAATTGCAAGCCTTCTAATGCTCATATCCTAAATAACAACTGTGCTCTTTGTGCACCTTCCAAGACTGCAAAGATCTCAGCCCTGGGAGAGTCACCGCTCCTGATTGGGCCTGAGAACAGAGCTAAAGCAGTCCCATTCTCCCTAAATACACCCCCTATGCCTGACTGCCCAGGATTCCCTCTACTACTACCATCAAAGTTCAGCTTTATAAACCCATTGGGGGGAGGGATCCAAGACAGGCTTAGACCCATTTTGACATGGGCACTGCTAGCAATCTCTCTCCAATGGTCCAATTCCTTAGCAGATCATCCACAGTAAAATCTGTGAATAGGTCCAATGATTTCAGCCACTGAACTACCCTGATGTGAATCAGCTCTATCAAATTTTCAACACTTCTCTCTCTTTCAGAGAAAAGTCTTGGATTCCTTTCTTCCCAAACACATATCCTTTTCAGTCTGCCCCTATCCCTTCTAGCTCCTTCAACTTGCAAAGGATCATTCCTTCTAGCCCCTTAGGCCCTATTCCTTCTAAGTCCAGTCAGTCATCATTTTTTTCTTTTTTTTTTATTTTGATCAGCAGTCCAGTCGGTCATCATTATCATAAATCATCCTATTTCCTATACGAGACTGCCTAAGAAGTGCATTCCTTTTGCAAGATGTATTTTATTATCTAAAAGTAATTCTGTTAGGCTTCCAGACCACCCTTTTTCATAGTTATATCAGAAGCTTAATTTCCTGACAAGGTGACATTAATATCTCAGTACGAGATGCTTTTGGATTTTAGGCTACATTTGGTTGCAGTGGAATTTTATTTGCACTAATACAAATGCATGGGAGTGCAAATAAAAAAAAAGGCAAATTCTCATTTAATTCTGTTTTAGGTTTTACTTTATTCTGCTTCATGTCTTAACTTACTTCATTTATATTGCAATCAAACAAAATAAGCTAAAATTTGAAACAGAAATAGATCAAAACTTGCATTCAAATCATTTGCACTTCCATGATTTTGCATCAGTGCAAACTTATTTGCATTGCAACCATACACAGCATTAGGAAGATATGTTGTACTGCAGATATTTCTTAGATCTAGAATGTAAGTCACCGAGTGTTATGTCACAATCCATATAAAAAGACTATATAATGTATTTTACCCAGTGGGAGTGGGTTATAGGTGGAGCATTTAGATAGAGATTTTTATTGTCATTTTCACTTGTCTTCATTTAAAGCATTTCTCCTTGTGCTATTAGAAATAGAAAGAACTACTTCGATACACAAACATGCATTTCGAGAGAACACATGCATTCCTTTCTTCCCAAGCTGTCCAACACACAGAGCTTAATTCTGACTCACGTAGCCCTCTCCTAAATCCCAAGTTCCAATCAAACCCAAACATAGAAATAGAGGAAACAAGGAAAGAAGTAATAGGCTCATCCCTACAGCTGGAAATGGCAAAAAGAGAAGAGGGAATTGCTCCTTCAAAGGAGAACTACCCAACCAAACATGTCCCCAAAATTTGACAAGATTTCCCGAGCAAGGGTTATACCTGACAAATGGCAAGGATGGTAAAATTGCATGGATAAATTTCTAGGGAGAGGAACTAGTAGTCCTAGCCAAAATCTGAGAATCCCAGCCATCGGCCGCAAGTCCATAATGGTTTAAAATACCCCTAATTTCCCTAATATTTCCACGACATGTTTCCATTTCCATGAGTAGCGACCTGAAATTTTACTGAAATCAACATATTCTCCTATGAACACTACCAGCACTATGTGGAGTACAAGAGGTAGTTTCCATGACATACATATTCCCTAGTAAACACTACCAGTATGGACTACAAGAAATAGTATTATAACAATGTTATATACCGCCTAACTTACATGATTACCACTTTGAGCCAGCTAAATATTCATTTCAAGCATGAAGTTAAATATTAGTTTTTCTTTGTGTAATAAATTATTTGGTTCACCTATTACAACCATTTACATTTTCTTTGAGCTTAAATTTTGTTTGAACTCATTTTATCATGAAGCTTTGAATCTTAAGGTTTATAGGGCAACTTCTTTACATATTCTTTTCTCTATAACCTTAGTTTTTTTATGGGAAACGATAACTTTCATTAATTCTTTAGAAAACTTAGTACAAACTGTCACCTTCAAAAACAAGGTGACCCCTCATCTAAATTACAAACAGACCCAAAAAAAGGTTCTCCCTACTAACTCCTTGCTTTGCTAAAGTATCAGCCATTGCATTGGCTGATCTCCTAGTCCATAGGAGAATATGTTGAGCCCTCATCAAAATTACAAACAGGCCCAAAAAAAGGTTGAGCCATTTCACATCTCAAAACCTAAGCACCTTCAACAATCTTCCTCTCTTCCATATTTATACCCAAAATATAGCCTTTATCAAAATTGATTTTCAAATTAAACATCCTCTTAAAAACTTGTACCAACATTTTCAAATTCCTTACCCATCCAAGATTTCCACCTTCACATAACAAAATAGCATTAATAGCAAATTGCAAGTGGGTAATTGGCACCACATTCCTACTTACTCTCCAACCCCTCACCAATTTCTATCATTAGCCCTGGTCACAAGTCTCCCAAACACATTAGGAATCAATACAAAAAGAAAGTGGATTCTCTTGTCTTAAACCTTTTAGCACTAAGTAGTGACCCACCACCGATCCATTAAATAAAATTGAATAATAGTAAGTCCTAATGCACCCTAAGATCCATTTACACCATTTGCCACCAAAGCCAAAATTTCTCATTGCCTCAAGCAAGAAACCCCAATCCACCAAATCATAAGCTATTTTTTTATAATTACCAAATAATAAGCCTTTTCCAGATCAAGTTTGCAAATAAAGCCCTTCTTTCTAGTCCTCATCTCCTCAACACTTACATTGGCAATTAAGATTTGGTCAATGATTTGTCTGATTCTGTCCTTTACAAAAGCCCCTTGGAAAGGTGAAATTATGGAAGGGAGTACCACTCTAATCCTTCGGGAAAGAACCTTGGCAATGATTTTGTATAAACTATTAACCAAGCTAATCGGCCTAAAATCCTTTGGGTGCAAAGCATCAGCTTTTCTAGGAATCAATGCAATAAATGTTGAGTTCAGCCCCGGGTTAATCACCTCCCTTTCATATAACTCTTCAAATACCTTCCATAGATCATCTTTCAATACTTCCCAGCAATCCTAATAGAAAGCCATAGTGAAACCACCCGGAGAGAATGGGATTGTTCCAGCCCTGTTCTCAGGCCCAATTGGAGTGGATGATTCTCTCAGAGCCGAGAATTAAGCAGTTATGGAAGGAGTCCAGAGAGCTAAGGAGATGAATATAAGAAAACTTATAACTGAAGGGGACTTGGAGGTAGTGGTAGGGTGGTTGAATAAAGACAACAGTGGGTTTATGGAATTACAGCAATGAGAGGAGAAAATTTAGGCAGCTGGTTCAAGAGATGGAAGTCAAGATCAGTTGGGTGAAAAGATCAGCCAACTCTTTTGCTGATGGGTTAGCTAAACAAGGGGTGGAGAGGGATTCTATGCTTTGGGCTCAGTTGTAACTCTTTTTTTCCTGGGGAATCAAGCCTCAGCTAGAAGATAAGAAAGTTTATTTTCCCCTTTGTAATTATTTTTCTGATTAATTAATGAAATGTGTTATTGATCAAAAAAAAAAAACCATCCGGTCTAGGATCTTTCGATCTGATAATCTAGACCACTGCCTCCTTAATTTCACTTAAACCAAACCTTCTTTCAATCCAAGCCCTAGAATCCTCTGATAATCTAGACCATTCCAGACCCTCAATTCAAACTTTCTCATTCAATGGTCTCCTGAAAATATATTTAAAATAATCCATAAAAACTCAGTCAATCTTATTCTATTGAGAGAGTTTTACCATCCACCACTACTTTGGAAAAAGAAGTTTTTCCTTCTTCTCCCATTAGCCAATACATGGAAAAATTTGGTATTCCTATCTCCTTCCTTCAACCACGTAACTTGAGATTTCTACCTCCAACTAATCTCCTCTTTATGTAAAATATCCTCCAATTGTTTTCTCAGAGACCATAGCACTTCTTTATCTCCTTCTTCAAAAGCACCCATAGGTTCTTTCAAATCTAGATTCTCAATTTTTCTATAACCTCTAGCTTTTTCTCTTCCAATCTTCCAAAATATTGGATGTTCCATTCTTTAATTTTGAATTTAAGCTTCTTCAGTTTCCAAT